GCGGGGACTACAAGGGAAGGCGCTGACCTCCAACAAAAAGAAGAAGTAATTTTATCGGAATAGAAGAGTTTTTTCTTTTCGAAATCCGAATAGAAAGGGTACAGGTTGTATTCGAATACAACGTGTAGGACCCGCACCGTTTCAATTTCGAAAAAGGACTGCGGCCTCCTCGGCCTCCTACTCGCAGCTACGGGTCCTACGCGGTCCTGGACCAAAACCCGTGCGGTCCCACGGGCAGCTACCGGTCCTGCAGTTTCAAATAAGATGCCACCACCCCCTAAACTGCCATGCCTGTTTTTCCAGCCTTCCAACGACCGTATAACGAACGACGACGAAAAATGTTCTCAGGGGCATAAAACGCACCCTTGACAGGCTGCGAACTAGCAGGGCAATGCTTGGCAATGGTGAATGCGCCCTCCCATATGAGCAATCTGTACAGCCTAGGTAGACGGTCTGTCCTGTGGGCTCTCTGGTGGCAGCATTGTCTCCTGGCCTTGGAGGGGGTAAGAATAGAGGCCCGGAACTGACAGGGAAGATAAAGGATCTCGTGCAATTGGAACTGATGCTTAGATGGCATAACTTTAAGCCACAGCTGGACATTTTTCAGACGGAACAAAACACCGAGAGGGCAATTACTGCGTTCTGTACGCACTGGTTGGGGGGCAATGTGGAGGCTGGGTAGCTCGAGTCGAGTGGACGGGGGACCAGGTGGCTGTTGCGGGAAAGGGCCTCCCTAGGGACTACAGACTTGTGTTCAATTACTGGACCGACATTGAGCCTGCCTTCCGGATGAGACCCCCGTTTCCTGGATCCTTTGCCTGCTCACCCTCTTGCCCTGGTAGAAGTCCTTACCTGGTCATGCAGCGAGCCATTGGGACAGGACAAGTGCCCCCGCGGTGCCCCCCAGGAGGTGCTCACCGAATGCTCCTGTACGTCTTTGGACCCTTCAGAGTCTTCAGAGTCATCAGAATCTCAAGTGCTGCCTCAGAGCCGAGGAAGGGGGCTAGGTGGTCCGGTGTTAGCAGGCGCCCTGCAGCAGGGCTGAAGAAGCCTCCCCCCTCTGTCAAACCCCCGTTTGTTTTTCCTGTTCTCGCATTGCCTGCTCAGTTAATCCCCTGGTGACCAGGGCAATCAATGCTAGCAGGCTGACAATCAGTAAATGCAATCTTCCAATGTACAATGGGACACTGGACCCGTTTTCCAGCAGGTGCAGCTCCCCACCAATAGACCAGAGGAAGCCCACTAGGGGAGGGGTTGGGGGCTCTTACCACCTCAAAAAGAAAAGAAAAAAAGTTAAGAAAAACGAGGAGTTGAAGACTGTCAAGTCAAGGTTATGGAGTTGAAAAACAAACAAAAGAAGAATTCAGAACGAAGTGATCGAGTGGAGGAATGAAGGAGAGAGTCCGACGGCAAGCTCCCACTATCAAAGAGGAATGCCCTCGAATCTGGACGTATTTGTAGGAACGTGGTAAGATGCAGAGAATCGTGATAGATCTGTTTTTCCGCATCTGTGCACAATAACGTCCAGGTTCCGGCCCTTAATCGAATCCGCCTTGGTAGTGCGTGACCTTGCGCCTAGAGACGGAGGATGAAGGTGAGTGATCGAGGGTCTGGCTCCACTACACAACAGTCTACATGCATTTGGATGCTCTCTGGGCCAGGTCCATTCGGACGAGTACACCATTTCGAATGTACGTAATCGAGAAATCGTCCAAATGCATGTATAGTTGTGTAGTGGAGCGAGGCCCCTATCTGTGACACCGTCCAAATGCATGTATTCTATCTGTGAGGCGTGGAAGTAACTCCGGGGTTACCTAACCTCCGGCCGGGCTTGCCGAACCTCCAGCCTCGCATTGATTGATTATGGGGTCGGACGTCTGGACTCGTACGGTGTCACGGATTCCATTGGGAGCGGCAGGTGTTAGTTCTCGCGCATCTCCTGCGGCGAGCGGTCGCACGACCCCTCTGACGAGTGGTCGCCCATCCCCTGCAACGAGCAGTCTCCCGAACCCCAATTCAGCAAATTCAGCAAATTCAGCAGGGAGTGGTTGCACTACACCGACCTGCGCTGGTCGCCCAAGCCCAACCTCCATCCAAGCCGCCAATGTTGGTCGCACGACCACAGCCTTGGCGACTGCTGGTCGCACAACCCCAACCCCAACGACGAGCGGTTGCACGACCCCCACCCGACCCACGAGTGGTCGCACAACCCCCACCCCCCCAACGAGCAGTCGCACAACCCCCACCCCCCCCACGAGCGGTCGCACAACCCCCATTTCAGCCGCCATTGGTCGCATAACTGCATTGACTAGTTGCACATCGACACCAGTGTCTACCAGTCGGTCAATCGCTGGAACTCAAAGCGGTCGCACAACTCCTCGCACGAGTCGCTCAGCCCTGACCCCCAGTGGAAAACCCGTCTCCACCCCTGTTTCGTCGCGACCTTCAACCCCCTCTCACCACCTACCCACTGCCGCTGCCGGTTCAATTTTTTCCACACCCACCGAGAAGACATCATTGACGATCGATCTAATTAGCAAGTCAATTCCTGAATGCAGTCGTCTGGAAGACGTGTTGAAGCTATCTATGCCCAACCAATCAATCGAGCTGATCTCGCCAGATCTTGGCCGATATCTTGTGAATCTTACGCAGCTCGATCTGTCGAACAACCTGATCGAGCGGATAGAGCACCTGGACAGGCTGCCACATCTCCGAAAACTTGTGTTGACGTCCAACAAAATATCTCGACTGGACAATGTAGATAAGCTGCAGAAGCTGGAATATCTCTTAATCCAAAGTAATTACGTTTCACTCATAGACGAGGTAGAGAAGCTGCGGGGGCTGACGAGGCTGTCCACCTTGTATTTTCAAAACATTGACAGGACGCAGAAAAACCCTATCTGCTTCGTGGACAATTATAGGACACGTGTATTGGAGGTATTGCCGAGCTTGCGGAACTTAGACGGAGAGAGGATTCGATCTATCGTTGCCGCCGTGGCAGCCGGGGCGGGGGGGGGGTCGACAGTCTCTTCCATCGCCAATCATTGGTGTTCATCCTTATCTTCCATCGCCTCCTCATTCTCCTCTTCCTCTTCTGCTTCGTCTTTCTCCTCCTCCCCCTCCTCCTCCTCCTCCACCTCCTGCTCCTCCTCCTCCTCCTCCTTCTCCTCCTCCTCCTCCTCCTCCTCCTCCTCCTCTGCCACTACGCTTGGCTCTGTTGACTTCTTGGTCTTGCGCTCCGCCAGTGATGAGACCTCGATGGATGGAGTTGACGTCAACAAGCTCACTGCAACGCTCGCTAATCAGCGATCGCGATGGTGGGGTCCGGATTGCTTGGAATTGATGGGCCCTGAAGATTACCGACGGTCGGGATCGTCCGAATGCAGTAAGGCATTGGAGTCTCGGGTAAAGCAGTTCCAAGAGATCGTCAGAGATTGCACGTCCCTTTCTCAAAACTGCAGTTCATTGCTCAAAGAGCACAACAGACTGGTTCGAGAAATTATTGCGGCAAAAAAATCATCATAGTCATCATCATGACCACAAAACCGCTGTTGATTTCTTTTCTTGCCCCTCTTCCCCTTCCCCTTCCCCCCCCCCCCCCCCCCCCCCCCTCTCTCTCTCTCTCTCTCTCTCTCTCTCTCTCTCTCTCTCTCTCGCATGTTCTCACACATAACAGCCTCTCCTCGATGTTTTTTTTTTTTTTTGCGCACTGGTGACCAGCGCACCGCACCGCATGGCGCACCGCACAATT